ATGGTACACCGTCATTCTTGTTAAACCAACCATTTTAATTCCAGCACTTTGAGGATCCATTAACGAGCTATTACTAATAGTGGAGAAACTAGTGGTCGATTATTTTATTGTGGCGGAATTAAAATGCCAATTTTACACGGACATCTGTTGTGAACGTGTTGCTTTTACGCTGCATCAAATAGACGCCTGTTTGTTTCCTTTTTTATTTTACAAATGCATATGAAAATGCAGTACACTGAATAAATAATTTAAAGAACACTCTTTTTTGAACACGAAATCTAGTAGATAACTTGCAAAAAACAAACTGTCGGGGAAGTGTAAATTCATCGATTAATTATCCAATTACATCTTTATTATTTATCAATTATACCAAAGCGTTTATCGGTTATATTTATCGGCTCATTATGTGTCTAATTATAAATTTATTGCCGCTTTATAAAAGTCCAATTATCAATTAACTTATCGGACGACAACTACAAAATCACATATGTGCGAAAATAAAATTTTATTGAAACTCGAGGAACAGGTTGAGTGCATTGGAAATTAACGACGCGGGAATATCTATTAAATATTTTGTAACGAGCGATGTCTGCCGTTATCGATGGAAAAGTGAAGTTTATTGAGCATGTCTGATATCAAATCCTTCGTAAATGTTTTCTAACAAAAATCAACAATTTTATTGGTAAGGTACCATTTCTTTTTGTCGCTAATTTTTGCTGTTGAAACTGCGACATAATGTTTAAAAATCGTTTTTACATTTGTCAATTTAAACCATTTAAGGATTTCTAGTCATTAAAAGTGTCTATAGAAAGTATAAACGTATTAGGTGTAGTAGAAAAAGAGCAAGACTGTTCAAAAAACATACTTATTCTTGGTCGATGGAATTTTGCTTTTCTTCCGTATAATTACCGACGACATTATCATAAATTTAAAAGTCGTAATTCAGCTAAAAACAATTTAAGAGAATGATATAGTAGAAATTTACTGCCACAGTTATTAACGTTTAAAATTGCTTTTAGCGCACTGGTAATTATGTAATTGTTTTCTATTTATAACATAATAAAAAAGCAGTTAATTCGTTAGTGCGCTAATTACAAATTTATATAGGTTTCTGTTCTAATGCGGTAAGATGAAGGTAATTAAATTATTGTAATTTTAAAATTCCTGTTACATATATACAATCTATGAATTATAATGAAGATTTTTATATCTAACGGATAAGGAAATGCATAAATATTAGAGAATTTATTATAAATAAATAAAAAAAGGTAAAGTAAGTTTGCAATAATAAACTCCTTAAATGTGTTATATTTAGCGAAATAGGGCATTACATAACACATTGTGCAAAGTGTGGTAACGACGTGAAAAATATAAAGCGAAAAACTCACTTCCTTCTTAAATTCGAGGAATTAACTTTAACGATAATGATAGTCGAACGAACAATCGTTGAAAATTACACATTGCGATTGTCGAAGAAGGGCATTCAACAACAATTCGTACGTACGTAATGTCACAATAAAAATGATAAGAACTACACATCAAAGAAACGGCATGTCCTAGGGCAATGAAACAGACAGCTGGTAAACATTTTTATACAAATAGTTAACGATGCGAAAAACTGTACCGGGTTAATACCGCATTTTTAATGTGAAATTGCCTCGAAATTACAGGATGAAGGATTTATACTCTAAAGTTGTATAGTTAATAACTATTACCTCTTCAAAAAAGTGCAATTTAAATGTCATTATCTGTTTATGTGTGTTACACGATATTTTTTGTATTTATTGCTTAGTAATTCATATTTAATGAATTATTGAAATAACCGGAACTTGTAAGCATATAGGTATGTGCTCTAAATTGCACCTATACACCTAATAAATGTTCATTTTTATACCTCATAGTAATTTTGCATATAGGTATTTTACCTACGTTTCAGGAAAAAATTCCAATATCTATTCTCAATATAACAATATAATGCAGTTGTTTTATTTATTATTCACTAATAAACTGTAAATAAAATTTCCACACAAGTTGTATTTCGATTACATTTTGCATAACTTGGATACCTACCTATTAAAATATTTCTATGTCGCGGGAACGTTAATCGTATTAATTGTGAAACCAATATAAATAATTGTACATAACAGGGTAAGACACAACAATGTGATTGAAAAAGCTTTACATACAATTAAATTAGCACATAATTAAAAGCACATAAAAAGAATTAACGTCATACATATTATTAAATTGTGATGTTATAGGTTCACAACGGGAACTGTAGATATTAATAAATAAGTATAGACAGGGCTTTTTTATGGTTTATTAAAATATCTTTTAACTTTTAATTACAGTCCATTAAAAGTTTGATAAAAATCAAGTCGTAAAAATTAGTCTTTTAATAGGCACTCGATTTTTTCCCTACCTAAACGGACGAATTCAAACATTCTCGTAAAATATTCTAAAGGTATTTGAATTGCAGATATTTCCCTAAGGTGTTAATGTAATTTATGAAAACAACCTGAATATAAACCTAACCAGCTGGTTTTAAAACAAGATATATGTTGGGAAGATGCTCTTTAGCATACAAATGGCCTATAAACAGGAATCGCACATATCATAATTATATTATAAATTAGAAAATAGAAATAAAGTTCGTTCATTAACCAAAGCGATAAAATTTAAATAATCATGATACGTTTGGGCATAAGAGCTTTTTATCAGCAAAATGTTATTTTATGGCTTGTTTTCAACAAAATTTTATTACATAATGGTCGATTACGTTTATGTTTTCTAATGAATTATTGAAACAGGAAACACCAAACGCAAAAACGAAAATTGTATAAACACAAATCGATAAAAACCAACCAAGTAACTCGAACAAAACAAACGAAAATAAGTAATATAAATAAAAGATTTATGAACGTTGTTATAATAGAAGATAATGGGGAACAGAGAAGCCAATTACTGTGTAGAACTTAAAATGCGATCCCTGTCACCAAACACAAAAGATTTCCTTCCATTAACAATCGCGAGCGAGTATTTTCTGGATCCATTCAAAAGCTCAACTTATTCCATTACCAACAACTAAGTGCGGCTTTATTCGAGCTTTTACTGCTGAAAAGCTCTCATCAACAAATTTATAATTGAAAATGTTTCCTATTGAAAGCCATTCCAACGCCGAACAACACCATTCGAATACTGATTAATAGTTCTTTTATCGATCAAAATGGCAGCGAACGCCCATAGAAAATTGACGTTATTTGTTGGAGTAAACACGATTCAACTTGTTTTTGAGCGGTAATTGAATTTGTCGCGCCTTTCGCCTCATCTACGTTTCCATTACGCTTCAACACGTTCTCAAAATTTTCACTCAAATATTTATCTTTATTTTTATCTTATAGATAGAAATTTTTATCTTATAGATAGGTACAACCACCACATTAATCATTGATCGTCCGCTCGTATATAGTTCGACCTACCGACGTTCCGACGCGTCCCGACGCTGCGTCGCGTTTATTTCCCGTGCTTCCACCACCTTCCCGATTGGTCGCAGCTTCCTGCCGTTTTTCAACCCCCTAACGATCTCTATTAACCAGGCGTCGCCGTCGAGACGCCCGAAACAATGGCCGGATTGATCAATTAGCCATGCAGCGGGTGTTTCACTCGAAGAATTAGAAGATTCGGTTAGGCGTGAAACAAGTTTTTAAATTGTTAATAAGCGTGCACAACTTAAATTCTAGTAGATTTTAAGGGTATTTTTAGAGTTGTGTTATAATTATGTTTTTAGAAAAAAGTAGGTAATTAATAATTCAATTATAATTGAATAGGTCTATAAGGTAATAAGGCCTTATTACCCGCACCTACCTTTTACTCATTAATTGCATAGTTTAGCTCATTAAAATTGATTCAATTGAAATAAATCTGTAAATTTTTCCAGTTAAATAAGATAATCTACAATTATTCTTCCTATATACTACATATGTATCTTCTTCATAAAAATGTGAATTGTTTTGTATAAGTATGCATTTTTTAATTTTTCCATGAAGATACTAACTTTTTAATAGAAGTATTGTAGGTTCAAAGAGTTCTTTAATAAAAATAACGAATTACTCAATTCAAATTTACTTTTATTTATTTTAAATAAACTTTCGAGTTTATGACAATACAGTAAAATATTTGAGTACAATAGATTAATGATTTTTGTCAAATATTACTGTTTTCGTTCAAGTAAATTTTTAAGAAAACTAAATTCTTGGGTTGTCATTTTACTGTAGTTTGATTTAAGTATATTTATTTGAAGAAAATAAGACGATTGCTTAACATTTTAAATAAATACAAATTTTTGAAATCAGAATACTTTTTTTAGTGTGTAGCCACTCATTCAGTATTATATCTAGTAATGTTTATTATAAATGTATAATCTGATATAATACTAGTATTAACAATAACATGTTACAGTTGTTGACGTTTAACACGTTACCAATCGTTTTTCGAAAGTATAAAAATACTTCGAATTCCAGGGAACACGACCGGTCGTTGTGGATCCGTGGGCGCGACTACATCGCAAAATACTTAATTGAAATAAACAGTTCGATAACAGAACATTAAGATAGGCGAATTATACACAATTGTGGCCTGTCCTTTATCACCGACAACGGTTTAATTTTAAATCGATTTGAGCTACGACACGGACGTCGGTTAGATAAGAACCAGCGAATGGCCCCGGACGAGGACCCGATCCGTAGGTTATACATTTAATACTCCGGGCGGTTGTGGGACCACCGAGATGTGGACGGTGTAAACGCGCCTACGATCGGATAATGAATTTTATTGTAAATCCAGCCATCGACTTCGATTAATTTTCCGCTCGGAGACGATTAATCTAAACTCGAGTTTCGAATTTTATTTATGAAGTTTTTATATTGTTTAGTGCTCATTTGCAATCGAATATTTATCGCATTTCAATTGATTTTACACGTTCCTGTGTTTTTTTATTTCAGGACAAAACGGAGACGACTCGTTATCGTCGAAAAACGGTGCAATAAGTAAAAAGCAAAGGAAAGCGCGAACGGCCTTCACCGATCTGCAGTTACAGACGCTAGAAAAAAGTTTCGAAAGACAAAAATACCTCAGTGTACAAGATAGGATGGAATTAGCAGCTAAACTTAGTCTAACCGATACGCAAGTGAAAACCTGGTACCAAAATCGAAGGTAAGTTCTTCAAAACAATCCACACAATATGAGAAATTTTGCAAACTTAGCAACATTATTATTACTACTACTTAACAAACAACTTTAAAAAGTAAAATTTTAATATTAATATCGGTGATCTTACCTGTTTATAGTATAGGTAGGTACATAAACAAGCATTGAGGGGCGTTGGTATTATAGAAGCTAAATCGATTAATTAAAAACAAAAAATAAAATTCTCATCATCTAAGACGATGTAATTTGCGTTAAAAAGCCTCCAATGGTGCTTAATTTGCAAGTAAAATTTATTGACGTAATTAGAAATGATTAGCTTATATGGCTTCAATGTATTATGGAATCACATTAAAGTAATTATACCGTTACTGAGTTTTCTAGATATCTTACTTCATTATGCGGCGATATCTATAAATTTTAATTCGGTTATTGGGATCTTCATATTTTATCACTGACAGCTAATCGGTGGTGGAATTTCTTGACTTAATTACATTTAAAACCCTTTTATGTCAAATAATAGTATTTATTTTAAAAATTTTATCATCGTATAGAATGTGCAGAGCACTTGGTCATGTTTTGAAACGTAAAATAACAATAAATTCACCTCATAATAGACGAAATAAAAAAGCTAATGGTCGAACCTCGGCCGGATATGGTATTTTAGTTTTATAATAATTAACCAAAGTACTTCCTTCGTGGCAAATTATGAGAAACGTTTTTAGTTAAATAAATTGTTTGGTTAATAGAGGGGCACCTAGCTGGAACGCTGAGTACATCAGAAGGTGAAGATCTAATTAAACGTTTAGACGTTCGTTAAGCTTTATATACTTTTGAAATAATTGTGTAAAAAAGTTTTAAGAACAAATTACTAAAATTATACATCGTGCTTTTTTCAACCAATGGTAATTCACTAAGTACCTAATGTGCGCTCTTTTCCAGCCGCAAACGGAAGCAGTCAATTATAATTAGATAATTAATTTTTATTTTGTGGTTTTTATGTTTATTAGCTTCAATCAGCGAACATTTTAATATCAAATTATGCAAGGAAACTGAAATAAAATTCAGTAATTGCTTTACATCACACAATTAGGTTGGCAATTTATTGTTATCGCCTAAACTGAAATATTCCAATAATTATAATAATGTGCAACAACAAAATTAATAGTAATTATGCAGGTATATAGAAGTATGTAACTGATGTAGTATAGGTATTGTTTTGCCGCACAAAGTTAATAAAGCTGCCACCACTTTGCATGCCGAATTAACTATACATCATAAATCATTGGAGAATTAACGAATTGGTCCATTCGAAAATCTCGAATCAAGTCTGATTGGTGCTCTCTCCACCCGCAATCACAATCCGTTCCGATAAGTGCAGTTTAAATATGCGTATATCGTGCTGAGAAAGGTACGACCTAGTATTTCTCTTAGGAAGTAAGTAAGAGTATGTATGTAGGTACAATTTACAAAGTAACAGTGGAAATTAGTCATAATTGTCGGCTACATAGCGCGTGGAATTTCATTTCTACGTGGAATATCTACCTTAATCGCAACGCAAATACGGCTTAAAACGAGCGTGGTACCCTATTGTTTTTGGTACCAGTATAGGAGGTATGAAATGCTGCAAGATCATTCGATCACGATATATGGAAATTTTGCAGCAAGACATTTGATTTGTGGATGGTTTTATAAACAGTGCCCCTATTCGATAAATGCAGGAAGCATCGAACGTTCAACATTTTAACATACCAGTATTTTATTTAGTTATTATTTAACTAATATATAGGTACTTAAGATTATTAAAGAGGAATAATTGGAATAAAGTAAATTATCTACTATTTTGTAGTACGACTATGTTCGCAATAACAACGACGCTATACAAATCACGAAATATGTAGATTTTATCATCGTTTCTCCAGTTTACTGAAATTCGCTGTTTAAGGCGGCGCGGCGTTCGTATAAGCGATGTAAATTCTGGAATCGGTTTGTAAATAGCGGGGTAATTTCTAGCCGTTTCTCATACGGAATGGAGATTTATGCTATTGGATTTGGAAATAAGCGACTGCTAGAAATAAACGCTTTCATACGGCAATTCGAAACGCTCATGAATACATAAATGGATAATAATTTCTTTGTTTTACCTATACATAGGTACGAATTCATGTCTACTATTCTTTGTTGTTTATAGTAAAATATACTGCTCCACAAAAGTTAAGGAAGTTCACAAATATTGAGTGTAATTTAAAAGTTGCAGGTTCTTTGATCGCCAAATTTAGTATGAGATGTAGAGGTAGGGACAAAAAATCCACTTTTGTGGAGCAGTTATTCTGCATATTCAATATAACAGTGGGTGTCACCTACACTGTGTCCGTAAAGTATGGAACAAATTCATTTTTAGCTAAACAGACCATTTTAGCTAAAAAAAATTAAAAAAAATTTAAAATGGTCTGTTTAGCTAAAAATGAATTTGTTCCATACTTTACGGACACAGTGTATACATATGTACCAAAGAAAATATGATTCAAAAATGCTATAATGAAATTAAATCTCTACACATTGATAGTTCAACAAAAAATTATAAAAATGCATTATTGGATAAAATTGTTGAAGAAATTGAAGTAAACAAAACCAGACGATGTCGGATCAATAGCCGATTTTTTCCACGGATTCCGGGCATGACAAATCCGCACGGTCCTGGCCGTGAAAGACTACCGGAAAAATTTGCATTTTGAATAGGAACTATAAAATCATTAGAATTTTGATTTATGAACGTTACACTCAGACGAGAATAATTTATTTCTAGTCCGGGGGGGCTGGAAGGGTGCACAATAGGGGTGCAAACAACGGTTCGCCGCAAAGTGCCCGCTAATGTTTCTGTATTTTAAAAAGCAGCGGCGCTCCCAAGCTGTTCACGAAATTACCAACCGCAACTCGTTGTAAATTTAAATTTTCTGTTCAAACATACCCAAACACCTTTAGTTTTATTTGAAATATTAATGTTTGAGATCGAAATTATTCTACGCTAAGTAGTGAAACTTAAATATAACATCATCAACTATACAGGGTGTTCCTAAACATTGTGTACATCCGAAAGGGGGCTTATTTTATGACTAAAAGTTCATATAAACTTGGGTCAGCAAACGCTTCGTTACCGATCTACAGGGTGTTGAAATTTCAAGATTTTTTTTGCTTCTTTTTTAGAGCTCCTGCAGTTTTTGAGATATTTTGCTGAAAATTAGGTATAGGATATAGGATATAGAGTATAATTTGAGTAGGAGGGGGTCACTTTCAACATTTATTATAATGTAATTTAATAATTATTATTTAGGGTTTTTGTTTTGTAATATAAATCATTTGTACAGAAAATCATTTTTAATTTTTTTTTTCGATAACGGTCACAGAAACGAAAAACGTTTGAAAATAAAAAAAGTTTCTAAACAAAACAGACAATAATTTTGTATTTTAGAATCTACCAGAGGCGCACAGCAAAAAAGTTCGGGGGGAAAAAGAGTACATGACCCCCGAAAAAATATCACCCTGTAGAATTCATACCCACTAATGTGTTCCCTATAAAGCAATCTAGATTCAAAATTTGAGCTAAATATTTCAAAAAGTGCAGGAGCTACAAAGAAAAAACAAAAAAAATGAAATTTCAACACCCTGTAGATCGATAACGAAGCGTTTGCGGACCCACGTTTATATGAACTTTTAGTCATAAAATAAGCCAAGGAATCACCCCCTTTCGGATTTACACGATGTTTAGGAACACCCTGTATAACGTAACGTTATTTTCACGTAAGTTAGTAAAGGCCCCGCAAAAACATGTCGACATGAAGGGGCAACTAATTCTCACCTATTTTTCGAGAAACTAAATTCTCCCATGGTACGTAATGAGCCGCATAGTTACTTTATAGGAAATTTATTAATCTCTATTAACCGTAATGCGACGTGTTGGCGTGTTACGGGGCATTATATGAACGGAGACGCAGCGACGTTATTAGCGTTAGCCGCAACGTGGCGCAATTGAAAGCCGCCCGTCGGAAGTGTTTAAGAAATGCCCTTATCTCGGCCCCGTAAATGCATGTTAAACTGCCCCTAAGTGCTGGCAAATTGTTCCCAGGAACGGTGCATTCATTTCGCCGACGCCACGCAACCGCTAATTTATTCCAATTGGGCCAGATTAGCTAACGCTAATCGATAGGAAATTAGCGTTTTTTAAGTGCTCCAAAAAATGTGTTTGTGTGTAGTATGGACCTATTAAGTATGGACGCGGCACTATCGTTATTTTGAGGTTATTCAGCGTTCCCGATGATAGAGAGAGAGATCCGTGAGAGATGGAGTTAGTTTGGGCTAAAAGTAGGCGGGACCAAAAAAATATAAAATATATACAGGGTGCGTGAAAAAAGGCTATTAATCTGTTAAATTATTTATACGCTTAATATTTAAATATTGATTTTATCTTGGTATCCACTTGGACAGAAGAATGACCAGGAAGAAACATATTTTTTACAAGAGAAAACATCTAGGTCTTAAATTGCGAAATCTGTACTGGCTAATAGGTAGGATGTTCCAATTAACAATACAAAATAAGAACTGCATTTGCAAATGCGTGGGAATTTAGGCTCAGCTGAAAAACGCATTTTGCTCGGCAAAAAAATAAATAAATCACAATACCCTCCGCTGCACTCCTCAACCCTATTCTACCATAAGCTACCCTCCTCTACCCCAGCTACCTTGCATATCTAAAAACGTAACTCACGTGGTCTTTTGATTTCTTACTATTGGCTAATGCATTGTCCAATCTCTCATTGCCATATGCCCAAACTAGCTGCATCTCTCTCATTCTTCGACAACACTACCTCTTTGTCTAAACCGCGTCCATAGTTAATAGGTCTATGGTGTGTAGCTTACGTAAAAGTATTGCCTCAATGGATTAGGCTTTTCTCAATGTACCGGTAGACCCACCGCTCACGGAGCAACTGTTTTGAAATAAAGATTACAATCTA